AGAGATCTGGCGCATGACTTCTAGGTTGGATTATTTCTAAAGTTCAGTTTCACCAAAAGTAAATTATCAATATGTCCAGTACAACATTTGGAGCAAGTTTACAATAACTTAATTGCTAGGTGTGTACTTAGGGAATGCCTAGTAAATTATAGTAGACTGAATAATTGTTACTACTCTATGTAGCTGTGAGGAATAAACTTTTTAAAACGATGGCTATTTGTCAAAAAGTAATATGGATTGTACTCTTTCTTTGAGAATAACCAGTTATCTCAGCTGCTTGGTGAGGTGTCTAAAGGAAGAATTATGCAATGCACACCTAGGAAAACATCTGAGCTTTGTTCCATAGGATGTTGGGAGCTTAAGGAAAATAAACACTTTAGGTTTTTAGGTTCAAATGCTGAAAAGAGAAGAGCCAAGAGAGCAAATTCTCAGGACAGGCTTCCCAGCAACGTTAGGTTGCTCACCAGGCGGTCATTTTCCCAGTGAACTCTTCAGGAGGGAACATCCTGGCCTTAGGCAGACAAACCTTTTCCGGCCTGGCAGCTGGCCTCATGGCCTAGCTCCACTTGTAATAGTTTTCAAATTCTTTTTCCCAGACATTTTCTGACATCAATCAAACTCCCCAAAGAAAGCAGATTTTATACTTATAGAGGGCACACCTCTGAGTTTAGCCACCACGAACTGCCTATTTCAAGTTTTCTGGGAAATGAACGAATAACCACCATATTTCTTGGTAATTATAGATTCAGGGCAGACAGATATCTTTAGTTCTGGGTATTGTTGATTTCCACTTTTACCAAAGCTACAGTGTCTTCGTGCATCACTGTCTCTTGTTTCCCAGATGCTGGGAAGTTGTGTCTTCCCTTCAATAGAGTTAGAGATAAGTAGAACAGGATCTGTGGCACCTCTTCCTGGGTTGTGGATGTGTCTAGACGCCATACTTGGCCAGAATCTTTCTTTTGGCTCTCGGATCTGATATTAATTACCCTTCATTCAATTTTGCAGTTATTGATTGAGCTGGTGATAATTAGTGAGAAATGACAATCTCCTGAATTTGTTGCAGAAATCACAGCATACTTACCAGGGGTGAGAAGACAACATAGCAAAAAGAATACTAACATCAACAGCCAACATCTATTGCACATTTTAATAGTCACACTGTTTTGAAAACTTCTTACCCAATCTCACAACAATAAACATTATTATTACTTTCCTTTTACAGATGGGGAAATTAAACTATGGAGACAAAGATAAAGGAGACAGTGTCTGGCCCTTAGAAGGTTCAAGTTTTGATTGGTAGTGAAATTGGTACACAGGTGGTTAACAGAACGCTTGATAACATGTAAAGAGATGAAGAAAAGTCTCAGAGAGAAGAATGTCTATTTGAGTTAATCTAAGGAGAAAGACATTTCAGGCAAAGGATAATTAACAGAGACATAAGAACATAACACAGTAGGGTATCTATTGATGTCTACAAGTACATCATTGTAAGTGGAGCATGGCATATGATGGAGATATTAAAGTAGTTAAGTCCCAAAAGATATGCAGGAAATCTGAAGTGGCATTTTGTGGAAAGAATTTATGATAAAGAATAAAATGTGATGTCATAGGCTGTGGAGAACATTCCAGAAGAAAAGCTTGGGACTGAGGAGAGGGTTTAGAAGGTAAAGTATTTGTTGCTCATGAATGAGAACTTAAGTTAGTATCCCCAAATCCATGTACAACTTGGATGTAGTGGCACTTACTTATAATCCCAGTACTGTGTGGCAGAAAGAGCCTAAACCCAGGGACTTGCTGGCTAGTCAGTTTAGCTGAAACAGTGAAATCCAGGTTCACGGAGAGACCCTGTCTCAAAAAAATAAGGTGACAAACAAGAGAGAAACAGCCAAAGTCAACCTCTGGTCATCATATTCTCCACATGGGCAAATACACCAGCATATACATCTATGGATATATATGCAACATGAATACACACCCATGGGAAAAAAGCCCCCATCCCATGTACCAGAGTTCAGTAGGGAGGAGAGCATCTGGGGCTAGATGGTGAGATGGCGGTTCTGCTGGGAGTGTCGGGTGATGTGGTGATGCTGAAATGGATATTTCTCAAGAAGTGAGGTTTGGCATCAATCACCTTTACCCACTGAGAATATCTCCAGGTTCAATATTACATATTCTTCCATCTGGCTACTCATCTTCACAGTTTTTAACCTAAAAACATTAAGGCTGTGGAGTTTTAGCAGCCAGTACTTTACCAATATTCCAGTATTAGGCTCCTTGTGGTTTTGTTTTTCAAGCAGTTACCTAAACAGAAATCAACAAATGCTGAGCATGGTAGCATATTGGTGTAATCCCAGCACTAGTGAGTTCAAGGCTGGCCTGAGTCACACAAGATTATTTCAAATAAGCAAAAGCAAGTGAGTAATCAAGTAAATAGCTTCATGTATACAAGCAACATCATGTTACATGCACAGTTTTTAAGCGTATTTGATATAGTTAGTAGCTATTATATTATAGAATGATCATAAATACTTGGTGGAGTTTTGTTCATGAGGAACACATCAATTGCTCTTAATAAAATTTGGTGCTTTTAATAAAACTATTGCACAGGGAAAACCTTACTAAGGCTTCTAATGTTTTTACATTTTATGAAACATAAATATCCACTTAAAGAAAGAACCCATATTTCATTATCATTATCAGTTTTTTCCGTTATTAATTAGTCCTTGAAATTATTTTATATAGCACATTATATGTCATCACAGAAGGGTGTCAGAAATGGCCCTCTACTCACTTGCTTTTGGTGTCCTGAAAATACAGGAATAACAGAATCAAATTCAATAACAAGTAATAAGTAGACAAATATTTCTGACTTCAAATAAAGTTCAAACTAGTTTAAATTGGAACAATATATGTGTGAATACATAATGTTCAGGGCTGGCTCAATAGGTAAGAGTAGGTAAGAGGGGGCTGGCGAGATGGCTCAGTGGTTAAGAGCATTGCCTGCTCTTCCAAAGGTCCTGAGTTCAATTCCCGGCAACCACATGGTGGCTCACAACCAACTGTAATGAGGTCTGGTGCCCTCTTCTGGCCAGCAGGAATACATACAGACAGAATGTTGTATACATAATAATAAAATAAATAAATATTTTTTAAAAAAAGAGTAGGTAAGAGTGCTAGCATCCACGTTTAAGAAACAAAATAACCAAACCATTGCGTGTGGCTTTGTGTGAGTCTGTAAAGCCAGCATTGTTGAGACAGGAGGATGACTGGAGCTTGTTGGTGAGAAACTGTGCCTAAAGAAGCAAGGCAAAGAATGATGGAGTGAGATACCCACACGCCTTCTGGTCCTCACGCGCCCACCCACACACATTCATTCACATATGCCACATTCACACATATACATATAAATGACATGTAAATTGTATCTATATATGAATGTGCACCTCTATATCACAAATATATATCTAGTACAACTGATTCTTTTATCTGCATGTTTATTTAAAAATCAGCGATGCCCACTTGTATACAGGAACATCTGAGGTTAACTAAACAATAAGTCAAAGAAACGGTCAGAAGCTAAACATCATATTTGAGATGCAAAAACAGTAGAGAGGCACCAAGATGATTTCATTGACACCCAGCTTTCTCATTTAATGCTTAAAGGCAGAGGAGGGAGGCAAAACAAATTCCTCCTCTGTTAAGCTTTTATCATTCTGCTTATTGTGCTTAGCAAAGTGATATTTGAATTTCCTAAGAGGTTCTAAGATGGTCTCTGACTTGGTCTCATGGTGCGAGAGTTGGGCCTCTGAAGGACTGAGATCTCTCTCACAGCTACTTTCACCTCCAAGCTATTGACAACTTGCAGTTCTAATTATATGCGTGACATTTGTTCACCACAAAGGAGTTTCTCTAACGCAAGGCCTCCGTTGGTTGGTTGGTTTTGATTTGAGTTTTTGATTCTTTAGTATCAGGTGTACACTCTGGCATAGGGAGGGAGACACCTAATTGATACGGGTTTTATATCAGAGAATTAGAAGTTACTCTTCTGGGGTCAGTGTAAGGCATCAGTCATGTTGGCACGACCACCAAGATATACCAACTCTGATCTGTTATTTTCACAGTTGCTCATCAATGTGAGGAGGTAACAATAAATCATCTGGGGTAATTGACTGGCAATAACTTACCTAGCCCCTTTTATTGCTCAGAAATAAAATGAAGAGCGAGTCCTTCATAGCAGTGAACTCTCCCCTGTCCATTATTAGGACACTTAGTAGTGAGAAAAGGTCCTTGCCGCTCCAGTTAATAAAACTGTGCTGCAGTGATTGCAGAATTACTGTTCAATTCCAACAGGTGATGTGCTACAGTCCCAGGGCTGATGAACAGGACCAAGTGATTTCCTGAAAAAAAAAAAAGAAAAAAGAAAAACGCGCACAAATAAAATTTTAGTCTGAAGAATAAAATCTGAGAAGAGTCCGCAAAATGAAGATTCAGGGTTATCAGAGTAATCTTGATTTTGAACTGAGATCTTATAGTCAGTCACCACTTACCACCTTTTATTATCCAAATTTATCTTTCATTGTATTAACACTGAAAATATGGAAAGCTTGCTTTAACCACACTGAATTCTGAGACTTATCAACACTTTGAAATCTGCAAATATCTGATGGTCAATGTTTATTAATCTTCTGGCAGATTTGCCATTCGTTACAAGTGAAGGAAATTAGTTAATTAATTCTGAGACAACACCTTACTTTGAAGTCCAGGCTCGCCCAGACGTCTAGCCTTTTTAGTACCTTAGCCACTCAGGTGCCACACTCACTGGCATGAACTGCCACACTCAGCAGTGTGAACTGCCACACACACTGGCATGAATTGCCACACTTACCAGTTTGAACTGCCACACTCAGCTAAAGGCAGTGGTTTGGATCGTGGCATTTGTTGAAGTAAAACATATGTGTGGTAAGCTGCTATATCACAGACATTTCTACTTTTGATTCCAGGAAACTCTGGATGCCCCTTTTTCCTCTGGGGACTTCTAGCCTTCTTGGGCTTGGCTCTGGTTATATCGGTGATATTCAATATCTCCCACTATGTTGAGAAGCAGCGGCAACGAGGTAAGACCTTTTGGCACACTTTTGTATGGCACCGGCTTGAAAGTAGACTTTGGCATCATTGACAAACCTCTGGAGTAGACACTGTTATGAAATGTCATTAACGGTATATTGTAACCACAAGAAATCCTTGCGGTATTGTTTTCGCGCTGGAGACTCTCTTTAAGAACAAAATAGCATTCAAGATGTGAGAAGAAGCTCCCAAATTTAGCTTTGTCTCTGTCTCAGGAGCGAGAGATGGAAGGACATATTCCAGTGAGCAGGCTTTTCTAAGTGAACAAATCAGGAAATGGCAGTCTTTTGAGACAGTGGCAGGAGTGGGAACTTGCTCCCCAAGGCTGTCCTGAAGTTACACAGTCCTCCCAGGCTCTGGCCGTAGGACTAGAAAAGCCACAGCCTGAGCCTGGGCCTGATACTACACGGCAGGCCTGGCACAGGTCAGCGGTCTGTCACTGCCACTGTTAGCATTGCTTTCATTAGCCAGGGGACGATTACCGACACCATAATTAAGAGGGTATAATGGGCACAGGCTGTAAACAGTGGGCATCTGGCACGTGCACACTGAATACATGGATCAGTGCACGATAGAACCAGAGCTCACCTGTTTCTGGGAATGGCCTTAATAATCTAAGGATAGAGCTATAAGTGGTCAGAAAAGATTTAAAAAAAAAAAAAGAAGACAAAGAAGAAAAAGAAAAGTGCTTTTTCCAATCTCATGAAAAGAGCTAAAACTAAGTTAGCAAACTGGAGTTAAACAGAGCGCATATGTCTAAGGAAACCTGCGTGAAGCTAATGCAAATGATGATCAAATTGTGGAGTGTGTCCTTGGTCCACGTAGAAGCTTCCTAAGTGTTGATAATGCAGCATAAAGCGTGGAGAAGTCATTGCCATGCAGACTTTAAAAAGTGAGAGGTACTTGAGAATGACATTGCTGAGCTCATACAGCAACCCAGTGTCAAAATCGGGCCTGAGTCTCCAAGGAGGACATATACTAGTTTTTTTATATCTCAATGTGAATAGGTTTTATAATTTTCACTTTGGTGCTTTGTACATTAGATTTTATTTGTCAATATCCAGACCATTTCCACCATACAAATAGAAGCAGTCCCTTTGTCTTTAGTTTTGCATGATAGGTTTGATTTTTAAAAAAAAATTATGCAAGCGATTATTGTCTCAGTTCTATTTTTTAAAAATAGTGTGGTGGAGAAAAAAATTAAAAATAGATAATAATAAATTGAATGCATGATGTTTTTCTTTTGAATAATACCAGCTATTTGATTTTTAACAGCATAACTTTTAAAGAAAATCAAATGTAATGTGAATTAAAATGCACTCTGGTGTTAGGTTTCAGCTGTCAGGTTTTGTGCAAGTAGCAACTTCTCTGAGTCTCAGTTTCCTTTTGACAGCAAATGGAAACCATGCAGACCATAAGGGTCTTTGCACATAGCTTTGCAGAGGGCTGGGATTTATCAGATTGCTTGTGTATCTGGTATAGTCCACATCACAGACCTCATGAACCCAATGCTTCTTGCTCTTTCTCCACAGTAATTCCTTCCTTCCTTTTTGTCGACAGTAATCACCAAGGACATTTCATGGGCCCCATCACTTCATTTAACGTTAGTATGTTATTGCAGTCGGCATCAGTTCCCCAGTCTCTTTGCTGCTCTAACCATGTCCGTGCCCTGGGGATCCTCTGGAGATCCTGGCTAATTTTCTGTCCCCGTATTTATATTATATAACAAGTTAACAACATCCAGGGCTGTCGCAGCCACTGCTGTGTTCCTGCAAGTCACAGCCGACTCCATGTCTGGGGGTGTTTTGAGGCTTCAGTGGATGGCAGGTTGTTTTATTTGATATACACGTCTTAGGGGGAACACACTGTACAGACTGGTGATGAGCCTTAGAGCAGCCTCGCCGCTGCTCTCCAAGCGCCAGATGCTCTCCTTCACTTTTCCTACTGCCCAGCCCCTCCCACCAGGGTGAATATCTACCCTCCCATCTTGTCCAATTCACAGGAACAAATAATATTGTCCTCTCCCAGAGACTGCAGGCGGTAGGGATTGTCTCTGCAAACACAAGGCCTAGTGCTCAGGACTTGCTTGCTCCATTTCTTTGGCAAGACGGGTTAGAGGAGACATTTGTCACCCCAGCCAGGGTCTGCAAGTGTAATGTTCCTGCTATTGGTCTCATGTCACTTTTATCTTAGCATCTTTGTGCTACTCTTTGTGGTTGAGAAACTTGCAAGATATGACTCCTCCTCGGGCAACAGCCAGTGAAGAAACCTTGGAGCTGTATTAAGTAGCTTATGAAAGAAACTCTCCTCCCAGCAACAGCATAATATCTACACATTCAATCAGATGGATAGACAAGATAAGCCTTGCTTTGATGCTTTTTGTAGCAGCTAGCTGGAAGCTTTAAAAATGAGTCCTCTCTCTGCTTTCCAAAATAAACCTTTATTTTTATTAAATACACTGTCCAAATCTTTAGGAAGAGTGTGTTTGTTTCTTTTCCTGATAATGTATTTTCTTCTTCTTCCATTAAATCCAAAGAATATTATTTATCCAACTCTTCCTCTTTGATTTGAGAAGGATAAGCAAGTGTGTGATTTGTTTGTGTTTTAGTCTTACCAACGAACCTTCTTTTTACTAGACTGTGGCATGTTTTTAACCGAAATGAATCTGAAGGATTCGATGTCAGTGTTTCAGCCATGTGCTGCTGTTTCTTGCTGTCCCAGAGTGTGCAGAGAAGGGTAGACACCCTAAAGGGAAAACATAAAAGCAAATGTCTCTACATCACAGCCTCTCACATCCACACCAACCACAAGCCTTGCATCTGCATCACAGGGGAGGGTGGGGTAACCTCACTCAGCTCTTCTCACTCACAATCTTGCACACTTTGCTGCTCTGTAGCAGGGCACAATTTGCAATTTGGTCACGTAGCACTGAGATGACTAGGCAACATTTAAATCAAGCCGTTTATTCTCAAATAAACTTCTGAGCCTCTGGAACAGAAAGGTCTTTGCAGGAGCCTGAGCTTGCTCACCTTCATGCTCAGTAAGAAATCATTGGCTATTAACCTGCTTAGGAAGGACTGTAAAACTAAAATTACCCAAGTAATGATGGTCGAGCTAGTATCCAAACACACACTTTTTTTTTAAGGCTACTGCAGCATGTGGTGTCCGTGGACTTTCAAAGTCTTCTTCTCAATGTTTCTTCTGCAGTTGCTCTGATGTATAACATCCCTTCTGCCTCTATTTTCATTTGTTATTTTATAGTTTCAGCCCTCTTTCATTCTATTTAAGGACCTCATGCTATTATTTATTGCTTTTATTTAACTTTTCTCACAAAACTTTATTGCAATTTTTTTCTTTTTTTATTGATTTTTATTGAGCTCTACATTTTTTTCTGCTTCCCTCCCTGCCTCTCTCCTGTCCCCCTTCAACCCTCCCCAAGGTTCCCAGGCTACCAATTTACTCAGGAGATCTTGTCTTTTTCTATTTCCCACGTAGTTTAGATCTATGTAAGTCTCTCTTAGTGTCCTCATTGTTGTCTAAGTTCCTTGGGATTGTGGTTTGTAGGCTGGTTTTCTTTGCTTTATGTTTAAAAACCCCTATGAGTGAATGCAAGTGATAATTGTCTTTCTGTATCTAAGTTACCTCACTCAAAATACTGTTTTCAAGCTCCATCCATTTTTCTGCAAAATTCAAGTGAATGCAAGTGATAATTGTCTTTCTGTGTCTAAGTTACCTCACTCAAAATAATGTTTTCAAGCTCCATCCATTTTTCTGCAAAATTCAAGCTGTTGTTATTTTTTTCTGCTGTGTGGCACTCCATTGTGTAAATGTACCACATTTTCCTTATCCATTTTTATGTCGAGGGGCATTTAGGTTGTTTCCAGGTTCTGGTTATGACAAACACTGCTGCTATGAATGTAGTTGAGCACATGTACTTGTGGCACGATTGAGTATCTTTGGATATATACCCAAAAGTGGTATTACTGGGTCTTGAGGAAGGTTGTTTCCTAATTTTCTGAGAAATCGCCACACTGACATCGAAAGGAGCTGTATCAGCTTGCATGCCCACCAGCAATGCAGAAGTGTTCCCTTTTCCCCACAACTTCTCCAGCATAAGTTATCATCAGTGTTTTTGATCTTGTCCATTCTTACAGGTGTAAGATGGAATCTCAGAGTTGTTTTGATTTGCATTTCTCTGATGACTAAGGATGTTGAACATTTCCTTAAGTGTCTTTCAGCCATTTTAGATTCCTTTGTTGAGAGTTCTCTGTTTAGGTCCGTACTCCATTTTTTTTTATTGGATTATTTGTTCTTTTGATGACCAATTTCTTGAGTTCTTTGTATATTTTGGAGATCAGACCTCTGTCTGATGTGGGTTTAGTGAAGATCTTTTCCCATTCTGCAAGCTGTTGTTTTGTATTGTTGACCATGTCCTTTGTTTTACAGCTTTTCAGTTTCAGGAGGTCCCATTTATTAATTGTTTCTCTCAGTGTCTGTGCTGCTGGGGTCTCCTTTGCCAATGCAGTCAAGTGTACTTCCCATTTTCTCTTCTATAAGGTTCGGTGTGGCTGACTTTATGTTGAAGTCTTTGATCCATTTGGACTTGAGTTTTGTGCATGGCAATAGATATGTGTCTATTTTCATTCTTGCCCACACTCTCTATATCTATTGAATATAGTTCTTGAGGTCCTAGCTAGAGCAGTGAACACCAAAAGAAGATCAAGGGGATAAAAATCAGTAAAGAAGAAGTCAAACTCTCACTGTTTGTTGATGATATGATAGTTTACATAAGCGATCCCAAAAATTCTCCCAAGGAACTTCTATACTCATAAACACTTTCAGTAATGTAGCAGGATACAAAATTAACTCAAAAAAATCAGAAGCCCCCCTGTACACAGATGATAAAACGGTTGGGAAAGAAATCAGAGAAACAACACCCTTCATAATAGACACAAAGAGCATAAAATATCTTGGAGTAACTCTAACCAAACAAATGGAAGAATTGTATGACAAGAACTTTAAATCTTTGAAAAAAGAAGTTGAAGAAGACACCAGAAAGTGGAAAGATTTCACAGGCTCTTGGATGGGAAGAATTTGCATAGTAAAAATGACAATCTTGCCAATAGCAATCTACAGATTCGATGCAAATCCCATCGAAAACCCAGCAAAATTCCTCACAGTCCTTGAAATAATGATACTCAACTTCATATGGAAAAGAAAAATACCCAGGATACCCAAAACAATCCTGTACAACAAAAGAACTTCTAGAGGCATCACAAACCCTTACTTCAAACTCTACTGCAGAGCTACAGTACTGAAAACAGCCTGGTATTGACATAAGAACAGACAGAAGGACCAATGGAACTGAATAGAAGACCTGGATATCAATCCACACATCTTCGAACACCTGATTTTTGACAAAGAAGCAATTTTTTCTTTTTTACTCTGGGGATGAAACATTCATTGGTATTTCACTACTCTTTCAAACATTACATGAGTATGTTTTCAAGGCACCAATATTCATATCGCAATTATTTTTTCCTAGATGTCCTTATATTATAAAAATATTTGCCAGTTTAAGAAAATATTTTATGGGACATCTAATTTTTTATTCTTCTTATTAAATGACATTCTTGTTTGTTCTAGTTTAATTTTGAGAACAGGTTTCATGTACATCGGGCTGGCCTCAAACTCACTATGTAGTAGAGGATGACCTTGAATTTCTGTTTCTCCTGTTTTGACCTTCAAAATGCTGGGATTAGAGACTTGGACCACCACAACCAGGTGCTGGGGATCTGAGGGCTTCATCTGTGCCAGGCAAGCACTCTGCCAATGTAACTACTTAGCCCTATATTCTTTATTTAATTTTTTAAAAAATATTCTTTATGTTTATTCTCAATTTCTTTTTATAAGCAAAAATGTTCAGCTGGTGGCAATTCCCTCTGTAAAAGTGAAATTTCCGGGATTACCTTCCAAATTGAACTTTACTTACATTATTTATTTCACTTCATTAACTGAATAAGTCTATTTCCAGTTCACTCATTTATGAAGAAACTTTCAATTTAATGAACACAAACTGTGGCTTATATGATATGAATTTAGACCACATGATATTGATAAGTAGCTTTGTCATTTTATAAAATGTCTTGACATTGTTTTAATTATTTTCCATATCCACTCCATGATGCTAGGTTTTGCTATTCTCTTCTCCAGACGGACTGATAAGCATAGCTTTAGAATAATTTTCATACTGCCCCAAAACATGTACCATGGTACCAAATTCAATATAAGCTGATTCCTAGCCACGAGTATGTTTCATGATATATCACCCTAGATTTTATCTTCTTATGGATGTACTTAAATTCCAAGTGCATTAGCTACTCTATGTTGCTGTAATAAAACATCATTATCAAGACAACTTTTAGTCCAGTACTCCTATGTGGGACTCTGTCTCTATCTCCATCTGTTGCCGTACGAAGGTTCTATGGTGATATTCAAGATAGTCATCAGTCTGACTACGGGACAAGGTCAGTTCAGGCACCCTCTCCTCCACTGCCCAGGGTCCTAGCTGGGGACATCCCGGTGGACATCTGGGACCCCCTCTAGAGTCAAGCCTCTTGCCAACCCCAGAATGCCTCCCTTAATTAAGATATATTCTTCCCTGCTCCCATATCTGTCCTTCCTCCATCTCACTGAGCTCCCAAGATCCAGTTGAAGAGCAGAAGGAGGGAGAATATGACTAAGGAAGTCAGGACCCTGAGAGAGTGTGCCTGAACTACTGGGAGCTCAGCAAAGCCAGCTGGAATGGGACTGAATGAGCATGGAATCACACTGAACCCTCTGAATGTGGCTGACAATTGGGGCTGACTGAGAAGACAATGATAATGGCACTGGGATTTGTCTCTACTGCATGTACTGGCTTTTTGGGATCCTATTCTATTTGGATGCACACCTTCCTAAGCCTGGATGGAGGGGGGAGGACCTTGGACTTCCCACAGGGCAGGGTTCCCTGCCCTCTCTTAGGACTGGAAGGGAAGAGGAGGAGGGTGAGTGGGGGAGTGGGAGGGAAGCGGGTGGAGGGGAGGAAGTAGAAATTTTGATTCCTAGTATTAATAAAGTAATTTTTAAAAAGACAACTTCTAAAAGAAGAAGTTAGGCTTATGGTTCCAGAGGAATACAAGTCTGTCATAGTGGGAGGCATGTGGCGTGGTAGCCCAAGCAAGAAGTTGAGAGTGCACATCCTCAAGGGCAAGCACAAAGCAGAGAGAGAGAGAGAGAAAGAGAGAGAGAGAGAGAATGAATGTGAATAGTTTTGAATTTTCAAAACCCATCCCCAGTGACATACTTCCTCCAACAATGCTTTTCCTCCCAATTCACCTCAGACAGCATGGCCAGTTGAAGATCATGTCATCAAATGCCAAGACTTTGAGGGACATTTCTCATTCAAAGAAAGACACCAAACAAATCTGGAAAGTAGTCTTGATCTGGCTATAAGCAGTTCCTTTTTTAAAAATACAGAAATAAGTTCATGCTATATCATGCTTTTTCCCACTTTATAATTTTCTAACATTGTTTTTTCTTTTGTTTATTGAAATTAGTTAGTTTTTCATCCATTCTGATTTTCCTGTACTTTAGCTTGTGACTACTGCGATGTGTCTTTTTTGACCTTTCTAGGCTCCCACCAGGGTTCATCAGCGTTCATGCTCTAAAGACTAATCTGAAAGCAGCTGAAAGTAACTGTTTTTTATTTGCAATTTCATGGGAGAGCATTTCCTGAAGGCTATAACAGCTGTATTTCTGACATTCCAAATGGATTACTTCCATCATTTTGGGTTCTGCATCAGTTTAAAACACATCTTCTGCAAGAATGTCCCTCATTTGGTTGTCCTCAGTATTCCTCCCAGTCACTGCCATGGAACAAGTCCACTTCTTTCACTCGTGATCACTTTCATAAATACTTCAGCTAATTGTTCTGCAATAGTTAGCAACCTCTCTAAAGATGAGTCTATACTGTCACATTTACCTAAATTAACTTTACCGATTGTTTGATGATCAACTCAATTATTTTAGATGGCTCCTGCCAGTTCTTTCCCAGGTCACAGAGTTTTCCATATATTAAAGTTAAGAGGCCCTTTAACCTCTGATGTCAGATACTTAGCCAGTATCAGTCTTTACTTTTATAGAAATTTCAGCAAAAGTTCAATTTTTATTCTATGCCTCATTAATAGTAAGAAATTTAAATATGATAAGTGTCATATTGCATATATCCTTCTAGTTTAATATATAAAGCATTGATGAATAGGAAATAAAATTTCTAAAATAAAGTTGATATTAAACATCAAAGCACTACCTTGGGTATTTCTAAATCCATTAATTTCAATGACTTAGTATGAATATATTTTTTTCATTAAGCCTTACTCAAAAGCTATATTTCCCCTCTCATTTAACTTTGAGCTACCACCTTCAAGGGTTATTTTGAACTCTTTCCTGAGAACTGGAACATACTTTCTTCTATTTTTTATCATACATTATATCTCTGGTCCATCCAGAAGTCATTCTACTCTTTAGAATAATGCTAGAGACTAAGTTACAACATTTTCGCAATATCTTCACTCTAAGACTGTCACAATATGAATAAAATGGAATTATGACAATGCTTAATCATTGCATAATTTTTATGTGATTGATTGATCAGATGCCAAGAAATGTTAGAGGAGAGGGGGTATAGATGCATGGTGGAGACCTCTCTTATAGATAGATAGATAGATAGATAGATAGATAGATAGATAGATAGATAGATAGATAGATAGATGATAGGTAGATAGATAGATAGATAGATAGATAGATAGATAGATAGATAGATAGATCAAAATAATCAGGTAGAACTGCTGTTTGTCTGTTTTTGGTGTTTTAAAAATGTCTATTAGAACCAACTGGAGAAAAACAGAAGTAACCAAAAAACCCCAAAAGTGTTAGAGAAACTCAAAGGCAGAAACTATGTCCATGTTTCACAATAGTCAAAAATGAGGCTGACAAGAAGTCCCAGATTTTTCTCAGTGTTTTCTATGCACAAAATAGTCATGCATCTAGCTCTATATTATTCCCAAGCTGTCTTGTTTTTATCTCAGATTACCAAGAGAGCATTTGATTAGCTCATAAAGGAAAATGTCTTTACCCATTATATTACTACAATAAGCACCGAAGGTAGTTAACTTTGTAAAGAAAGCAGTTTTATTTAGCTTATAGTTCGGGGAAGTTCAAAATCTGAACAGTTATAGCAAAGAGTCTACCCCTTGACTATGTCAACTTTTATCAGATAGCAATGACAAGGGTACATGTTAGATTAACTGAACACATCTCCAGTCAGAGGACAGAGTGGAACAGTCAGTTTTGTTCGTATTTATGACCATCTTCCAAAAATTACCAAGCAGTCACATGACAACATGCTTAATCCCTTCTCACAGAAACATTATGAGTAATTATGGGATTTTCCATTAGATTCCACTCTTAAAAGTTCCAGTGCACTCCATGATACTGCCATCCTGGGGAGTAAAACTTTAGCAAAGGGACTCCTTGATATCGTATCCTTCAAATCGTATCCTCCCCTGGTCAGTTAGTAGGAGCTGTTGCGCCTTGACCAAAGTGGTTAATTTACACCAAGCCTTAGCTCCCTCAGAACATTTGGTGAAATATTTTTAAATGTGTAGACATTTCTTTTAATTTGTACGTTTTTATTATTTTTCAGATAAAATGTACAGATACTATGATGACTACATTCCAAGGTATGTTAAAACTGAATAATGCATTATGATTTTCAATTAATCAAGAAAGTAACAAATGTTATATTGCTTATGGATTTGCCTCAGAAATGTTACCATTTAAACTAAAAGAAAATCAAAAGTAAATTATAATTACATTGCTCTCATCTGAAAATTGGAAGTCATAATATTATCATCTAGTTATTAATACATCAAGTCAATCAAAGAGCTGAGTGAAGGGTATGAAAAGAGTCTAGCCTGACATCTATAAAACTCTCATCAATATCTGGACATATATATATATATTATAACTAAGATGAAACTTTGAGAGTGCTGACTAATTTTATATAGGGTTATGCAGCATTTCAGAAAGCAGAATAGAAGGAAATATATAAAACATCATGAAGCTTAAGATAAGTTATAAGGCGTGATGGTTTATGCCTTGATACCAGCAGTAGAGAGGGCAAGACAGAAAAGAACACAAGCTTATGGACAACCTGGGCTACATTTTGAGGTCAAACTGGGGTATATAGGGACTTGGTTTCAAAAAACAAACAAAACAGAGAAGATACACACACACGCACACACACACACACACACACACACACACACACACTTGCTTGGTGGCATGTAGCTTGCAAGGATGATTTCAGTCAATACTGAAATGTGATGAATTTATACTCTAAAATACTTAATTTCATCTCTTTAATACTTCCTGGCTTAGTTACAAAGAAAGTATATAATGTATACATTTTACTTTTTGATTTTTGAGAGTCTCTCTGGATGTCCTGGAACTCACTATGTAATTCAAGCTAGCTTCAGATTCACAGAGATCTGGCTGCCTCTGCCTCTCAAGTGTTGGGATTAAAGACATGCACCACCAAGCCTAGTTTGTACGATATATTTTTTAAAAGTCTAGAGCATGAATCATAGTAAATAAATTTCATTATTCTGGATAGTATATTATAATCCAAATGTGTCATTATAGTAGATATTCTGTCTTAGACTGGAAATCCAAATAAGGAGAATTTCTTGCAGGATTCTTCAAATCTTCCAGAATGGTGAACTGAGAAATCTTTGGAGAGCTCTCTAACTGGATAGGACAGGACAGGACAAGACAAGAGCTGAAGCTTTTGGAGTCTAGGGCTTTTATAATAGTTTCTGCTCTATTTAAAAATATCTCTTACATATCCAAGATATGAATGCAGGTAGATTCTCTGCATACAAATTTTGTGACGATTCTTCATACAAAAATCTTTGGTGTGAGATAATTTCATGCCATCAAGAATGACTTGCTAACAACAAACAAGATTAACTCTTTTCTGATTAACTTGATTTTTGACATTTGAAGGGTAATCAAGATACACTATGCCAGGTGTGTTGGTGACACTAATCTGTATTCCCAGCATTAGGAAAGCAAGGCAGAAAGTCTATTCTGAGTTTCTGGTTAAACAGGGCTGCATAAAGTGATCCTACTTCAAAATAATAAAAAGAAAATATGTTGGGCTGCCAACGTACCATTTTGGGCTGCCATATGTCATGTGCTGCCTTTTAGGGGTGACTTCTGCCGGGCTCCTGACCATAGATGGTTCACATTCCAGAGTAGGGGCATGAGGATTAGAAATGTTAGGTAGGAGGAACAGAGATAAGAAAGAAACACAGAGACATAGGATAGTATTGGGAGGGCAACTAAGTGATTACTCAATGCTGAATTCCAAGTTCTGAGTTCTGAGTATGCCTGTGTTTAATTTTCTCTTCATTTTTGTGCTCCAATACAAAAAGGGGGAGGGCAAAAGACTACTTTAACATGATACAAAGGGATACTAAAATAGGTGCTTGCTTCAATTCTTTGAGGCATCGAGCCATTAATTTATGAGAAAAGCATTCTGTTATTTAGGCAGCGAACCCATCCTAGACCAAGTATCCTGAAGGCAGCCACTCCCTAGTATAGCCATTCTACTATTTCAAAGAAGGAGCAGAAGTATGCTTGAATTCCCTGACATTTGGTCAGGGTAGAGTAGATCGACCACTATGGGCCATCTTAATGTCCAAAACACCAAGCAAACACACCCTAGGTCAGGATGTATAGCTACAGTTGTTGTCAACAACTCTGAGCAAGCTAAAACTCTCTGACTTTCAAACAAGGTGGAACGGGCTCACATTTTTGGACCTCCAATAAAAAACCAGGATAAAAAAGATTTAGTGCTATGGAAAGTTTTGTGATTTAGCCAAAGACTAAATTGATGGCTTTGGTATCAGTGTGAGAAGAGTTGGAAAGGAGCATTGGTACAACACACATCTCAATGCAGTTAGGCTCCTATCTGTACTACAGATGTGGGGAAAGGCTGGTTCTTGTGTAACATTCATTCATCTAGCAAATAATCCCTCAAGAATAAGTACTACACTAGAAATTTATAAACCAAGATCACTGATACCTAAAGAGTAAACTCCCCCTACGTGAAGGAAATCAGTTTATCATCAGCCGACCATCAGGCATAGGAGTTTAAATGCTTCAACCCACTGTGTCTTAAGCTACACTTTCCTACTTGGCATGTCTAGTGAAGAAGACACTAATACACATGTGTTGCATGGAAAGAGTTTATCATTTACAATTATGCAATAAGGGACCAAAAGACCTCACATTTATCACGAAGGTTCCTAGAGGCTAAGACAGATGCTGTCTAGATGCTGCTTGGGGTACAGCATCTCATCTGCATATGTCTTACTTGCACTGTAGGTGAGCAAAATTAGAAATCAGCCAGCATTGACTTTTATACCCCAAAGGCAAAATGACAACTAAAGCTTTTAAGGCTGCTCCTGTCTCTATGGAGACTGAAGTCAAGCCTGGGCTTTTCCAGCCAGGTTTTGCATCCTCTGTTTCATACTCTGGTTATCCTTGAGCATTACAAATGAGACAGAGATGTTTCAATGTCACCTGGAGAACAGTCTTCCAAAATTAAACTACAAAGTAGCAAGACATGGATCTTCCCTCAAAGATTTAATCTATTGCCTGATTTTAAAAAAATGCCTTAGACATCTATTGCCTATTGCAATATATCCCTATTTAGTCAAAAATTGAATATACAATGTAGACACTGCCAACAAGGGGGATGTTAATTCCCAAACTTCTGAACATTTAACTAGTCCACTTTTCTTGATTATGTGGATTGATGATCAAAAATGCTTTTGTAGGGAGTCATTAAAGACTCAGAAAAACAAAGTTGCCATTATCTTCACTGACTGAAATGTAAAACCATCAACAGAAAACAAGGAGAAACCAATGTCTTTGAGGTGGGACTAGAATTACTGCAGCTTCTTCAGTTAGACAGAAGCAGACAGACGTCCGTCATACTGGGATCCCTTTTCACTCTTCTCGGCTCTGCAAAATCTCCCACACTAGAGGAGAAGAAATGTTATCTCTGCCCTTCCTGTTTCCCCAAGCTCCTGTCCTTTCTGTACCAGGAGATCACAAATATAATCAACCCAAGTACAACATAACATCCAAATTTACAGAACAAAAAATGAAATACACACTCTGTGTTATTTATTCTTGGACTGCCTCATTATTCTTTGACATAAATTATATACAATCCCTTTTTCTCTCTGTGTAAGGATGGTACACAGTGGATGTACTATGGGTTTGAGATCCAAAATATTCAGAAATTTTGTCAATTTCAGTCATCTATTTGCAAGCTTGGTGAAATATTCAGCATCCATGAACTTCAGGGTTAACATCTGAAAACTATGTTGACATTTTCCTTGCAGGGGCAACGGATAGAAACTCTGATGCTCTTTTTGGATTAAAAAGTGAGATATGAGGTCTAAGAAAACCCCTGTTGACCAGCAGCCTGTCTCACCCCAATTTCCAAGATCACATAGTTTGTGATTATTTTATCTGCACAATCACTCCTCAGTCTTTGGGCTTTCTCAAATAGTGTCACACATTTTTCATGGAGACATTGGGGCTGCTCTTATAACAACCCTCTACGCCTCAGTTGCCTTTCTTCTTTAGGACAATATCTGATTGTTTAGAATCCCATAGGGCACAGGCTATCTTAATTCTATCTTTGTTGAGTATACCAATGAAATATAAAACCTGTTCTTAACATCGCTCATACTGATTGTCTTCTAGACCAGTTCTGCAGACTGAGAATATTTAAAATAGTAACCTTCCCGATGTCCTTTCCTGACCCAATACCTTATAAGAATATATGAGTTGAGTCTCTTCTTTTTATTTTGATTAAAAATAGATTATTTTCATATAATATATCCTGAATGTTGCTTCCCCTTCCCTTTCATCCCATATCCTCCCTCTCCATCAGGACCGACTTCTTTTCTGCCTCTCATTAGAAAAGAGACTTCTAAGAGACAATATAAAATATAGAAAGATAGAACTAAACAAACACATCAGAATAAGAAAAGAAACAAGGAAAAGAGCCCCCAAAAGGACATAGGAAACAGATATAGATGCAGAGACACATACTTAGGAATCCCATAAAAACAATAAACTGGAAGCCATAATATATATGCAAAGGACCTGTGGGAAAGAATATAATAATATTATATATATATATATATAATAAAGTAAAAATTAAAAGTTAAGGCAAAATTAATAATAAAGGCAAAGCTCTGACAAGAAGCCTCCAGTGACACTTTGAGTTCATTTTCTGTTGGCCATCTACAGAGAGGTGTGGTTGTTTTGTCTTTTTGACTCTTTACTCTTTGCTCTTTGGGGGCCTGTCACACAGCTCCCAAATAAATCACACACAGAGAGACTTCTTCTTGTTTATTTATGCCTGGCCTTAGCTTGACTTGTTTATGGACTTGAGGTCAGTTTGTGGAGGGTGAGGGCCTATAGGAGTGCCTCACAGGTACTCAGGTTGTCTCTAAAATATCCATCCTCCTAGTATAACTGTGATACAAGCCCCATCCTGTGTAACTGCAAGGTAAGCAGCGCTCCTTGTGAAGAGCCCACATGTCCCCGCAAAGGTTGTTTTTATGTGTATGCACAGGTGTCAGTACCTGTGAGAAGACCCTACATGAGTGTTATTGCTATCCTCTGTCCGTCTCCATCGTGTTTCCTGAGACAGGGTCTCCCACAGAACCAGGAGTTTGCCATTTTTACTCAACCGGATGGTCAGTGAAACCTCTCTGTCCATCTTCTTTGGCTCCCCTGGAGCTGCCCTGGAAGGTAGGGTTAGAGGCTTGCATCACTCTTCCCAGCTTTTATGAGCCTATTGGGAAACTGAACTCAGGAACTTGTGCTTCTGTGTCAGGCATTTTATTGAGTAAACCATCCCCTTGACCCTCATTCTTAGTGGCTCCACATCACCCTGGTTCTATGGCACTGTTCTAGGATTCTTTCCCCATTGTATCAGAGACCGTCATCTTGGCATATCTTCTGTCTTCTCTCCCTTTGGCCAGAAGCTTTTCTGTATGTACCCCAAAGCACAAGCAGTTTGAGCTCCCTGTGTCTAACCTTGTAATGACATTGGCATATCAGAGAAGAACCTGAACACCAATCATGGGATGAAGATTTGGTTTTGGGCAACATGACTCTGAGAATCCAGTCACTGTCTCCTTCACCAAGAACCCTCTGCAGTTCCTTTTCTGACTCAAGCCAACAGGAAATATTTCTGAGTTTATATGTTTCTTTTTTTGGATAAAGGCCTTCTCTTTGGGTCCCTCGCACTCACTCCCTGTCTAAGATATTAATGTCTACCTCAGGTTTCTTGATGAAGAAAGTAACAGTTCAGCAATCATATATTCAGGAACACCCATAACGATTTCCTTTCTCTTCTGCTTCAATATCCTTTCTGCATCACTTATATCTTTCCCTTAATACATAAGTAGACTGTCTTGCTCATGCTTTAAAAAATAAGAAATGAGAAAATACCAGTCTGATGCTGCATTCCTACATAGTTAGTTGCCTGTCTACTGTACATCTTTTACGGCTAACCATGATGATCCAGCTGCGATTTGATCATATTTGCTAGCCTCCTCCTTCTCTTTGAAAGACTTGACTCTCTGCCACTCAATCTTTGGGTCTCCAATTCGCTGATTCAGCTCTTTCCAAAAGGATTAATGCATTTCATAGAGTCAAATCTTAATTTTGTTTTGCTGGCACATCTGAAATCCCGGGAAACCTGGCACTTTTTACTTTTCACTTTGCTGGCTCTGAATTACCAAGATACCCCTTTCATTTTGCTTCCTGTGGGGGTTTGAATAGGAATGACCCCCATAGACTTACATGTTTGAATGCTTGGGCCCATAGGGAGTGGCACTCTTAGGAGGTGAAGCCTTGTTGGAGTAGGCGTGGCCTTGCTTGAGGAAGTGTTTCACTGTGTAGGAGGACTTTGAGGTCTACACTGCAGCTAAGGTCTCATGTGGCAGTCTCATTTTGCTGCCTGTGGATCCAGATGGAGAACTCTCAGCTCCTTCTCCAGCACCATGTCTGTCTGCATGCTGTCATGTCCTGCCATGATGATGATGCACTAAACCTCTGAAACTGTAAGCCAGTCCCAATTAAAAGTTTTCCTTTATGATAGTTGTTGTGGTCATGGTGCCTCTTTACAGCAATAAAATCTAACTAAACCTGGCTGCTGTAGGAAGTCTTACAGCCAGTGGTTACCTGCCCACTATGGCGTGGCCTCTTATACTATATATGCCAATGTAGAGCATGCATCCTGCCTCTTTTCCGGCTGCGGGATTCAGTTTATGATCTCCGTTAAAGCAGAGGATTCTGATTTGTGAGTCTATCCCTAAATAAATAACTGCCTATTTCTCAATTCTGAGCTAGTGTGGGAATTCTTTTAAGCATCTTTCTTCACCTGGCAGTGGTGGCACAAACTTTTAATCCCAACACTTGGGAGACAGAGGCAGGAGGATTTCTGAGTTTGAAGCCAGCATGGTCTACAGAGTGAGTTCCATGACAACCAGGGCTACATAAAGAAACCCTGTCTCAAAAAAAAAAAAACAAAACAAACAAACAACAGCAACAACAAACAACCAAACAAACCCTAAGACACTCCTCTTTCTATTAGCTTCTCTCTTGCTCCTTCTGAAGCTTAAAACACTCATCTAGCAAACCGATTCATCCTCCAAATAATTTCACCCTCCTTTGTGGTTGCAGAAAGCATTCAGATGCCAATACAACTCAAACTTATGTCACCACATAGTCAAAGAAATGCTTTTAAGTAAATCAAGCTAACATTTGCCAACACCAGTTTCTGACAGACCTCTAAGCCTGCTCTTTCCCCAGTCTGATAACTCCCTAACTCCTTAGAACAATTTGATTAGTTTTGCAGCAATATCCTTTTTGCTTGGATGTTGGAACTCTATATTGTATTATGAAATTTGGAAGTTGAGAAGAATAAAGTAATTTTAACATCCTTGATTTATAATTATTACAACTAGAACTTATAGGATTGAAGTTCAAAGGGATCCAGTCAGAAGCCACGTTTTGTTTGTTTTAAAGAGTAATTCACATCTACTTATATCACAGAGCACTTGAGATAAATAAAGTAAACATTTTAAAGCAGTGACTGGATAAGATCTAAATAAAAACTCAAAATTTGGACCATAAAAGAGGTTAAAATAATGTATTTTACAATTTTGAAGTGCCAATAAATTACCTAATAGCTAGAGTTCCCCTTCAGACATTCCCAGACTGAGTCTGACTTGACCCCAAACTCAGGGTATATTATTGTCTCCGTTAAGAGCTCAGTTATTAATTTTTTAAAAAACAATCACTATATGAGCTGAGTATGTAACTCAGAGAAAGGATACTTACTTAGCATGCTCAAGACCTGACATTTGATTCTCAGCATTGCCGAAGGAAAAAACAACAATTATTGTAATCTTCCACATAAAACATTGCCAAACATTTGTTGTTGAAGTTTATTACATGTCTGCAATAAGCTGGAGCTATTTGGCATTGCTAAGTAAAAACATGTTTTTTAATTTGTTCGTTAAGCAGCTGCTTCTGAATAATAGTTTATTTGAGGTGATTAATCACTTGAGACCAGCCTGCAGACACGAGGCCCAACATTATAAATCACATCTTATTTTCATTCATAGGGAATAGAGTGATATTCATTTTTTGGACATGATTTATCATTTGCAGGTTGCATCTGCTATCTCTGTGGGCTGGGAAAATGGATGGCTCGTCTTATTAAAAGTCTTCAACTTTTGCTGTAATATTTTCTGCATATCTAGAGGAAATCCATGATCAAGACAATAGGTTCAAGTATTAAGGTGTACTGGATGGAAAGAATGGTTGTAGATCAGGTCTTTCACTGTTGGAAAAGTGAAATGTGGGCCAACATCTGGACTTTTTAAACCATTTTGTGTGGCCATCTTTGAACTGCTATTTGTTTAAGGAAACTTACTTAGTATTTATATATACTCTGTCTTCTTTAAGAAGTATGGAAAGTACTCAGTGTCACACCTTGGGATGACTTCCTTTTTCTTTGATTGTAATTCCTTCCAACACTCTGTCACTTGCAATCTCAAAGTGAAAGCACTTGGTCCTATTTCATAAAATTTCATTTACCAAGTGTTATATACCTTTAATACATATGTTATGTCCCAACCATGCCAATGTAAAATTAGTCAGTAGGGCCATTGTCATAAGAGTATCAGTAGGGCAGTCTGGTGACATTGGTAAGGTATTTACTGTAATAATAGCAGTATTTACATAAAGCAGAAGAAAATTGAACAAGAACCAATACTCATGTATCCCTGTTAGTCCCTTTGACTAGAGGGGCAGGAAACAATGGTTTTTAAATCATCTTCTGGACTATTTCCCTAAAGCCTTTAGATTATATATCTTTCTGATGACCTTCTTAGGATATGGGTAGAGCATAGGACTTTGCAATCAAATTTACATTGTGACCCTAGTTCTGCAATTGCTGACTGTGTGTCTGGATACTTAATTCCTACATATTGCAACTTGCTAGTGAATGTAGTACAGCGAATCATATCCTTCTATAGGACTGGCCCAAGGGTTGAATGAGCCCTGGAAGAATGGGAAATTCTCATAAGCAGTAATTATTTCTGATCTTGCTCATAAAGCTAAATAATAGGTTAATCTATCTGACTATCAGACCTCTCCTATTGTTACCTGCATTATAAGGGTAGTATGTTGTCAATCTTTATATTCCATCTACCAATCTGAGTCTAAAGAATTTACTTAACCAATGTAGTTTTAAAGGACCCTCCAGAGTTGTGCTGGTAGCAAGCAAACAGGCAGAAAAGCTAATAGCACAGACAACCTGCATTCTAATCCCTGCTACTTACTACTATTGTGACCTTGAAATCAAGAAGTCATGCAGCATTTGTGTATTTTATGTTTCTTATCTATTAATCAAGGCAATATAATGCTTGCCTGTTGGAATTGCTTTGAGAATCAAATCAGCAAACAAAGTATATGAAATGTGCTTCAAAAAGTCAATAGCAAATGAGTTCTCAGTAATCATATATTATCCTTCTTTGTGAAAGAAGGTTCCAATCTCAGCTTTTAATTTGCATATACACATACATGTGTAGAAACACACATAGGCACATAAATATGCACATACACAGAAAAACGCACACATACACATACATACACATACATGATTCATGCTTTCACTCATTTATTATGATCCCTTCTACCATAGAAAGACTCCTGTGATTGAACAAGAACATATGATAGTTTCCTAGATATTGAGTATAGCTGAGAAATTAGTTATGAGTTAACCAATTATTACTTAGTAACTGCATTTTTACTAAGTATAAAACAGATTTTATCTAATAAAGAAAATCATTCTTCCCTGTTACAGAGCTGATGAATATTATGTTGAAGATACTCCAATTTATGGTAATTTAGATAACATGGTCCCAGGTAAGTTTTATTTTTCCATAATTAGACATGTCAAAAAACTCATATAATTTTGCCATCAATTTGAGGTATCTCATTTTAAAAATCACTACAGTTATGTATTCTAGAAACCATAAGTTATATATAGTACATTGCAAGGTTATGTGTGCAAGGGCCACACTATAAATTGCACTGTGATCGTCAGTCAGTAGAAGCCAGCAGTTCCTGCTTTTCTGTGAGCTTCATTTCAGTCCTGGAGCAGCAACAATACATCACTAGAAGAGCAATAGAAGGTTCTATTCCCATGAATTTTGTCACACAGAGACTTCTATGAAATAAGGTCATTTCTAGAATAGAATATGATCTACAGAAACAGTGTTTGGGGACCTGTATATAGAAGCCTGTGTACAGGCTCAATTGCCAAAATCATGAACACGTTCTCTGTTTTTCTGTGGTTTAGCCTGCACTCTTTAAGTGGAGAACCTGGGACTGCATTGATAGCAAGTGGGGAGAAAACAGAACCAAGGCATCTCTAAGTGGATGGTGCTTCTGTTCTTCTCCAAGTGCTCTTCACTTGAACCTTCTCCCCAAACAAAACCCTCTAAAGTCCTCAGAGCAAGCAGCTGTGATCTGATGTCATAGCTGATGAGAGAAGAGGCTGCCCTTTTCCAAACATTCACTCTATTCACGAGCAGAGTTTCTGGGATTATTCTGCTTGCAAATCTCTGTCTCAAACGCTTTTTGTGATCTAACAATATAATATCATAATGTCTACAAATCCAAACCAATATAGGATTATAAAGTTAGAGATATGGGAATTTTGTAATGATTCAAAGATTTAGCTGTCTTTCTTCCCATTATGAGTATGTTCTAACTTCTGCACTCAAACAAGCCAGAAATATTATATTAAACTAATGTCCCTTCTGTTCCATATTGCAGAATTATAATCTCATTCTTCATATTTAAATTCTTATAAATTCTAATGGCCCAATGCCCATCAGATAGTACTTTCCAAACTAAAATATGCCGGAGTTTACTTCAAGATTCTGACCTCACATGCCCTGGATTGGGTTTAGAAATCTCCTACTTAACAAGCAAACACAAGATTCTGTTGCTAGTTTTTCATGGACCATGATTCTATTGTTTTCTCCATGTTGTTTTTCAGAGAGGGTAGAAAGATTGCTAGGTACCTTTTAGTATAATAAATATATCTTCCCCACCGAGGCCCAGTTGGTGCATTGTACATTCTGGCCAGGTAACTAACCACCCTTAAGTAGACATGTACAGGAATGTATTTGGAAGAATAATAACACAGAATAGAATGGTTTACTAACGTGAAGGATGTAGTGGGTAAAAGTCTGTTCACTTTTAGACACTGCACAAAGTATGAGATCCTTCGAATGGTATTGAACAATCCTGAGGACTTAAGACAATCCTGTCTCTCTGATATGCCTCTGACTGGTGGGGCAAAAATCACAATCTAAGTCATTTTATTCAAAATAGAATGGGGTATTTTAAAAGATTCTGAATAAATTCAGCTTATCATTCATAGAATGAATTACAAAGCCATAATCATGGATGGACTTGGAAAGCACCATGCTTTATGCCATGGTGTATCATGCACACCCATGTAGCAGATAACACAGGCAACCCTTTAACTCCATTGGATCTCTAGAACATTTTAAACAGTGGTTTAGATGAGGCTTCCACGTGCTGCTGTGGTACAAAAAATCCTTTTGATACAGTCTACATCTTGAGCTTCTTACTGTCTGTCAGTAACATTGTGGGCAAAGGGCTTCTCTGTCAGATCTGCAGGAACAGCTTGCACTTCCATAACGTCTTTGCATGTCCATCTAAAATACTACTTAAATGCTTCTTGAGGCTATATATTCTTAGCTAAATATTGTCTGGATCATACATTTCATTCATACCAGCACTTTTCATTTTCCCACGGAAATCTCCACCACCTCTGCTCCCAAGAGCCAATGGATGAGGGCTGCTACGAACAAATGAAAGCCCGGCCACAGAGATCTGCGAGTAACGTGCATGAAGCCACTGCATCTGCACAGGTAAAGATTCCGGCACAAGTCGCGTCCGCTCCAGTCCAAAGCACCTGGACATGCTTCTAGAGCACAAAAAGTGTTTTCCGATAGACATTGGGAGCAGCCTGTTAAAAATTTTGCAGCATACTCATGTGTCAAGTTCTGAGACTTGAGCTCTACAGGGAAATACAGCAGCAGGAGCAAAACTGAACACCAGAAGACTCAAACTTAGGTATAGTTCAAAGAACAATGGACCCTGTCTGTGCATACATGGATATATCCACATATATGCATGCACAGCTGCAAATTTGCATAATGCCCTGAAAGCATCAAAACGTTCAGTTAAAGCATTATTCTTTCTTCTCCAAAATCTTTTCTCTTATATCCTCGCACTGCTGCCTAGACTAGTCACGGCAGTGACAGCTCCTGGGCTTTGCTTTGTGTGCCCCATACACATTCTCTGCTTAAATTCCCATGAAGGAGGCAACATTAAAATTCCCATTTATAAAAACCTGCAAAGAAAGAAACACCTGTCCTGGAACTTGTCCTCAGATGCTATGTGAGGAGGCAGAATCCCAAGGTAGATCCATCTTACATACAACAGTCTTATTCTAAAATCGGTCACAGTTTGGAAATTTCCCATTGTGATAGAATTTTCCTCCTTTTCACTACATGAATTTGGTAAGATATCAGACTTCTTAGCAATTTTATTAAGAAATTAAGGTGTAGTGATATTTGAGAAAAAAGTCACCACATATGCAATCTGATATTTGATTAATTATAAAATATGCTTTCAGGGGCTAGAGAGATGGCTCAGTGGTTAAAAGTACTTGTTTTATATAAGGCTGGAGTTCAGTTCCTAAAACCCACACTGACTAGCCCACAGTCACTGGTAACTCAAGCTCCAGGGAATCTGACAACCTCTCTGCCCTCTGAAGGCACATGCGTTCACATACACACACACAGACACACACAAAGTAATTACACAGGTACATGCATACAAACATATACTCTTAAAACACAAATCTTTAAAGTATATTTTATTTATTTATTAAAAGTATATTTATATATTTATTAAAGTAGGAAAAACCATATGACATAGTATCTCCTGTTAAACTCATGATATTAAAAGAAAAGCTCTTGAAGGAGATTAAGGTGTAATTACATCATCTAGAAATGTAGAGACCCACTCACACCATTTTAGGTGTGAATATATCAAGAATCGTAAATACAAATTATAAGTAAACACATGAGAATTGCATGGAGTAGCTTTGCCTGAGCTACATCTGGTTTTTACTCAAGTGGAAATTTATGCAAAATTATATAACATTTTTGAGACTGCTCTTTTATGAATCTAGAGACACTATTCAGAAAGCTAGTCTCTATTCTATTACATTTTTATAAATTTAGTTTCACATTGGAAGTCATCTCCTAATTGCTCAATTTTCCTTTATCAGCATAATCACGACCTACCCCATTCGCTTCTCCGATACTCATGTACTGATTCGTCACAGAAGCACAGGAAACCTATGATAGCACGCATAGGCTGAAGGAAGAAAGTGTTTTCTGAGAAATATATGGGTTGTTTCTTTGCTCTTTGAAAGCAATGTATGTGGTTCAGAGACTGTAACTTGAGTATCTTGGTCTACCATCAAAAATTAAGTCCTAAGAGGTCACCAGAAAACCTCACAAGAAGCTTATTTCACAAGTGTTACATAGTCTATAAAATTTAAGGATGTACACGTGTGATGTTCCTTTTATTTATTTGTTGATCTTGGATCAATGTCCCACCTCCTTACTCGATCAAAAACATCTTCTCCCTTCCCAGACCATTACTAATTATGTTCCAAACTATTTCCTCTGAGTCTTTTAGGATCTTATTACTTTAATTAACTTTCCTTTTCTTCCAGGAAATGATCATTATCATTTGCGTAGCATATGTGCAAATGTTCTCAATATTAAAACAAAACAAAACAAACAAACATAGCAACAAAAACTTCCTTTGCTTTCTCTAATTTCTGAACTAAGTGGAAATTAGATGGGTTCTTTTCATACCCTGTAGTTTCGGTGTCTTTCTGGGGACACACATTCCTTTACCCTTTCCTCTATGCACCCCCAATTCCCTAAACTAATCCATCAAAGTGGAAGTCTAAAGTAAATATTTAATGTGCAGCCATTATCCTTTCTTGAGACTCATATTTTCTTAAGATTTACTCATGATGTATACAGTGTTCTGACTGTGTGCTAAAAGAGCGTACCAGATCTCATTAGAGATGGTTGTGAGTCACCGTGTGGTTGCTGAAGACCTCTGGAAGAGCAGCCAGTGTTGTTAACCTCTGAGCTATCTCTCAGCCCCTGGGCCTCGTACATTTTTTAACCTGGCCCTGCCTGATAAAACACAGCAGTATTGTCACTTGTTATTTGGAATGATTTCCTATAATTGCAGAAGCCAAATTCCAATGCTTTGGTATTAAAGGGAGATTATTGCCTCAAATGATGGACAGAGATAAGAATGTGCTTTGCTTTTGAGATGACTGAGTAGAGAAGCTGTCCTCACTCTCCTCATTCTCTTTCTTCCTATATGTCATCAGCAGACTCCTCAAGTGAGGCTGGGCAAGGCACTAACAGCTTGTGTATCTTTCTTTTTGACTCAAAGGAAAAGATAGCTGTCTATTCTTGATAGTAAATATTAACTTTAAAATGCCATCAAATATGCCCATTCTTGGGCCATTCTTTTGGTCCCTATTGCCAGGGTAGTGAGAGGCATTGGGTTGCTTGGTCCCAGCATTGGCTGGTTATTTAGTCTTGCTGGCCTTGGGTACAGCACTCCAAGTCTCTCAAACAGGATAGGGCAAAATTTACCAAAGAACATAAGAGAGTTCAACCAAGTCCCAAAATAACAACAAATAGCCACTCCTCTGTGGCTCTCAGTGAACATCGGTAGTTCTTCACCAGTCTGCCTGTTGAGGCAGATGACAGTCCTAAATGTGTGCAACCATGAATTGTCAAGTTTGCTGGGATACAAAGCAGAGTCAGGGAGTGCTGAGCATCAAAACATAAAAACCTTAAAGGGCAGGACATGGAATCCAAACTTTAGTCCAGAAGAGGCTGTCCTCACGGCATTGACCCACCTCTAGGGCAGAAGGGAAGGGTAACAAATTCTTTTCTGTCTTAAGTGTCAGTTGTACAAGAAGATGTGTTTTGTTTTTTTCTTACAAACCTTTAAAAATGTGAAGTAAGAGGCAGAGGAAGGATTTGTGGGTCTGTTTAAATTATTAAGTTGCCATTTATTAAGCTTATGGAAAGCACACCTTTTATTCCTCCCTACAATGTGCTTTCCCTCATAAACAAATGAAGGTACAGTTGCTCAGGAGAGTGATGTAAGGCAGTAACTGCTTGGGGTGAAAGTGAAGACAGAAGCAGGTGACGAATGGTCTGATGTGCTCGTGTAAATTTTGAGTATGAAGGGAAAATCCATGAAATTCATCGAAATACCTTTATTTTTCAACTCAAAAGTCATAAATTGCCTGTTGATTTGTTGCTGTTGTCTTTAACTGCCAACTTTGCAAAATCAGGTAACTAAAAACAGAAGAAAAATGTGTTTCATTAGCCATGAAAATTTATAGAAATATTGGAAATTAAAGAATAGACCAACAGTGAAAAACTCACATACGTTTCTTTTCAGGTACCTGCTGAAAGTCAGATGTGCTATGCCACACTGGATCACAGCTTCAAGGGGAAACGCAGAAGGCCCCGGAAGCAGAATGCTAATTTCTCAGACAAAGAGAAGGATGCACAAGGTTGTGCAATGGATGCCAGCATTTCTCAGACCAGTTCGGTACCAGATTTCTCATCTGATAACCAGGCCGTAGAAGAAAGTGTTCATGATGATCCTGCAAGACTGTTTGGATTGATCCGTGCCAAGAGAGAACCTATAGCCTAGCAGACAGTGATCCAGCTCACTGATAATGACCCTGTCAGAGATGGCTAAGAAAACAAGACCCTGGTGTGACACACAAGGACCGGCAGAATGATAGTCTGCTCATTTGTTGATGGGATGGTAGCTTCCTTTTCTCAGAGATTGTGTCTCCACACACCAAATCTAATGTATTAAAATTAGCTATATGAATTCATTAAAAAATATCCAAGTAGGAAAAGTAAAACAATAAAATCCAGTTTACAAATTAAATTACTTGTTAAAAAAGTCAAAATGTATAGCAATACCTAAGAAAATTTTAAAAATCTAAAGTACATATGTGCCCTAGGACATACTGAAGGAAAGATAAAAGACAATGTCTCAAAATATTAATCAATCAAACATTTCCTCTTTCATCAATATGAAATAATTAGAAATTTTAATAATTTCTAATAATTAAAAGTACATTGCTAAGAAAAGTAGGATAAATTGAGTATTTTTCAAATGTGTAAATAGCATAATTATTCAAACATTGCTATAAAAATAGATCCATGTTCCTTATAAAAAATTTTTTTTAAGAAGAACGTAAAAATTCTACTGCCAGCAATAATCAGCATGAATAACTTTGTGTCTGGTTTGTGGATAGTTCACTGAGCTACCACCACGTAAAAGTATTTGTTGTTCCTTTTTTTTATTATTTTAACTTAAAAGTAGAGTGTCATGCATGTTATTTAAATTTTCTTCATTTATCAAGATGGTCTGGCTTTTTTTTCTACTGTGTCTACCTATAGCAAATGTTTTAAAATGTGTCTGGTAATGCTGTGAAGCAAAACCGGGGTCTTTTACATGAAAGGCAAGTGCTCTATCACTGAGCTTCATCCCAAGTTTTGTCTCATAATTTTAATGTCTGCATTGTACCTCACTTATGATTAAATCAGAATTCATTTAAATAATTTTGAAGGCTACTTAAATTAATTCAAGTTTTTATTTTATGTGCTGACAAATGATATTTTAATGAGAGCGCTCCAAGACATGTCTGGATACTTATCTAGTTTTTTCTTTGTGTTGAGTCCCTTAAAGAAAATTAAATATACTTAAAGATATGTGTTCATATTATTAATCTCCAAAGGACAGATCTCTAGAAGATCAGATGTTGAGTTAAATATATACAAACATGCAGTTTAAATTCTAAAAGATTACCCCACATTGTCTCCCAAACAGTTAACTCAATAAGCCTCAGCATGGGGTGAAGGTGCTTAGCTGTGATCCCAGCATGCAGGAGTCTGAGGCAGGAAGAGAGCCCTATAAGTTCCAGGCTTTTTGGTCTGAAAGTGAATTTCTGGTCAGCTTGGGCTAAGAGTGAAACCATGTTTCAAAACAAACAAACGAAACAAAACAATAACAAAAAACTATTATCAGGAACAAAACGACATCTATTGTCTTCCATTGAGAAAGGAGGCTTGTTGGTAGTTTATAATAATCATATTCAGCTTGTTATAATATGTATTTTAAAAGGTTACTTTGACAGAGAAATGTGGAAACAACATGCATTTTTTTTTCCTTTTTGGTGGTGTGCTGTGGATTTTCCATACATTCCATTTTTTATAGTACTTTTAATTTTTAAAAGTTTTGATGAAGTTATTTAGTTTCCCCTTTCCCCTTCCTTCTTCTAAAACCTTCCCATGCACCCCTTCTTGTTTTCTGCCAGGGATCTCTTTTTCTTTCATGTTGTTACATATATGTATGTGTGTAATTGGAAAGCCCTACCTGTATAAGGCTGTTTCTCCTACTCTGAACAGTTCCCAGGTGCCTAGAGTTGAGGCTCTGCAAGCTGTCCCCGCTCCATGCTGGCATGTCCATTGGCATCAAAATTGTTCAGATCTTGTTTAATCAGTCATGTTGATGAGACCTCGTGGGTATTACCTTTCTGATGTCACATGCTTTTATTTAAATTACCATTTTTTAAAAAAATAATAAGTACCTTCATAATTTTCCACATAGTTAGAATGTCTAGACATCTCCAGTTGTTCAGATCCATGCAGGATTCTGTCTGACACCCCACATTTCTTTAACTATTGTTGCTGTCCAAGCCAATGAGTGACATAACTCCCTCGGCATGCTGAGCATCTGAAAAAGCCATTGTTTAAATCTTGAGAGATATTGTCACAGGTAAAAAAAATTCCCAAGGTTGAGCGGACTATGCTTCTTTGAACAATTTGTACTTTTCCTTTTTTGGACACATAGATTCCATCCAAAACTTTCCTGGTACCCTTGGTTTTAACTATATGGTTTTCTCTATCAAAGCAGTTGGATTTGAAGTATAATTTTCTTAAAAGATTAAGTCATCCTTCTAGATTTGAGATGCAGAACAAGAAGCACCTGTCTCCATCTGAACAGTGTGGATGTATTTTTCAATCAATAAATTTTGAATTTCAACCAGAAACTCATTCTCCTGAATAACAGCGTTGATGGGGAAGGGCACACTCGCAGACCTAGTCCTGTAAAGCAAGCCCACTGTAACAACCTTGATCGATCGTAGTGTAGACATGGCTACCGACAGTCTAGGCAGCAGTCAGTTCCTTTCTGCTTCCCTATCATTTGTGAACCTAGAGCCTCTCCTTTTTCTTTTCAAGGAGACTCAACTCTGCACTGATGTGATTAGAGTCTTTCTAGAGGGTTCTTCTGGGACTCCTCATGATCCCTGTGTGCCTCCTAAGAGTAATGTCAGCATTTTCTGGGAATCAGGAAGTCTAAATGTTGAGTATGTTCTCACAGTAGGTGTGGCAACAAAATGAGCTTTCTGCTTCTTTACAAGAAAGTATTTTTATTGTGTAAAAGATACTTTGAATTTTACCTTATTCAACTATTACTATTTTGAACATTTCTTTTAAAGTCAAGTTATTTGAAACTATTTGGACATAATTTGATCTTTTATTTTTCTATTAATTTTTTAGTTGCCCTATAAAGTAATGAGTTTTACTTTGGCATATGTGTATATATGTGTGTGTGTGCATGCATGTGTATGTGTCTGTGTAATTATGCGTTGTTCAAATTTATTCCCTTTCCATACTACCTTACACAATATTACCTACCTACTGTAGATTGATTCTCTTCCTTTCCCCAGGGAGTTCTCTTTTCTGTTTACGTATCATGTATACGCCATTACCATCTTTTCCCTTGACTTCCTTAGGAATCCTTCCTTCTCTCTCACAATTCCCTTTATTGACCCCTTTGCACATGTGCATGCGGGTGCACACATACACACACACACACACACACACAGAGAGAGAGAGAGAGAGAGAGAGAGAGAGAGAGAGGCATATGTAATTATAAATCTAGATTCTGCACAATAGAGAAAGTGTGCAGCATTTTTCTGAATCTGGTTTATCTTGTCCAATACAATTATTCTTGCAAATATCATGATTTCATTTTCCTTTATGACAGAGAACTCCATCTGTATATGTACCACATTTTTGCTGTCCATTTTCATGTTGATGGACAAGTAGGCTGGTTCCATTGCCTGTATACTGTGAAGAATCCAGTATCAAACATGGAGGCACAAGTATCTCTATGGTATGATGATGTAGCGTCCTTTGTGTATATCCTCCAGAGAGAAATAGTTGTCTCATATGTTAGTTCCAATTTTAATCTTTTTATAGCATCTATACTGATTTCTATAACGGGTACAGAAACTTACAGGCCTACCAGAGTAAATATCATCTCTAGTACTTCATGTCATTTTTTTTTATGATAACAATTCCAACCTGAGTGAAATGGGTTCTCAATGTGCTTTTCATTTGCATTTTCCTCACAGGAAGGTGAGTGTTTATTGGCCATTTGTATTTCTCCTTTTGAGGACTGTCTACTCAGTTCACTGCCACATTTGTTAGCTAGATGACTTCAGTTATTTTATTTAACCTATTTGCAGTTCTTCGTGCATCCTGGATATTATTCGCTTCTCTGATATGTAGTTGACAAAGACCATTTCATACCCTCTTCACAAAGAGGATTATTTCCTTTACTATGCAGAAACTTTTAACATCATCTACTACCATCATTTAGCTCTTATTCCCTGGGCTAAGGAATCCTTTCCAAGAGTGTTTGTGCCTATGCCTGCATCTGCAGGTGCTTTGTTTATTTTGAAGTTTCAGGTGTTACATTAAGTTCTGTGATCCACTTTGAATTTACTGTCATATAGTGTGAGAGATGGAGATCTATGTGTGCAAATTCAGTTTTCCCAGTTAAAGAGACTTTCTTTCTTCAATGTTACACCATTAACCTTTGTCAGAAATGATGTAGCTGTATCTATAAAGGTTTATTTCTGAGTTCTCTATTCAGTACTATTATCTATATGTCTGATTTTGTAGCAGGATCATTCTGTTTGGTTACTACAACTCTGCAATATACTCGGAGATCAGGTATTGTGATATATCTTTCTGCTAAGAATGCCTTTGCCTATTTGGGTTTTGTGTTTCCACAATAATATCAGGATGTTTTGTTTGCTTTTGTTGTTTTTTTGTTCTATAAAGAATGTCATTGAAATTTTGAGGGAGATTGTGTATCATCTGTAGGACAGCTTTTGGTAATATAACAATTTTCACAATATTCTGTAAATTATTGATAAAGGGCAGTCTTTCCATCTTCTAGTGTCATCTTTAATTTCCTTCTCTGCTGTCTTACAGTTTTTATTGTAGAGGTCTTTTACATGGCTACCATGGGGAACCAAGCTAATGGCAATAGCCGGTGTTTTAGAGTCTTCTGGAACCTCCCTAACAAGAATTTGTAGACAGACCATTTTCTCATTTAAATTTTTTGGTCAATATTATGTGAGTATTTGAGAAGGGTCCCTTACATATCCTAGAACTTACACCATTACTCAAACACTCTCTCCTACAACATTTTCCCCCTGCTTTTTGACCTGTTTCCTCATTTCATGGGATACCTAAGCTGCTCCCATCTATGGGAGTATCTACAAACATGTCCTAGACAATAATATAGAGAAACAGAGTATCCAGCTCCTTTGTTTAACATATTCCTGGGTCGTTGTCCTTCATTGCTTAATGACCAAAGTCTTAAATTCCTCTGATTTACCTATTTTTGCTGGAGTTTATCATTTCATCCAAAATAGGATGTCAATTCTTACAAGTTATTTCATCTTGACAAGATACCAAAAGCAGTCACATCATGTTGCTATAAATCTGTAGTTTACATCTATTCTAGTACAGTTCTTGGACACAATAATAAGCTATGAGTTAAAAGTCATCAGGAAATAATTAGGGGAATACTTCACCTGTGGAAGCTGGAAGAGTTTATGTTCCAAAAGGATTATCAGTATAAATGCTCCCATTTCTGCTAAAACCTACAGAGAAAAGCAAAAAGAAAATCAACAAAGGGAAACTGATGATTTTTTTTAAACACTTGAGTATTTCACTGATGTTCCTTTCCAGAGAGGCTTTTCCTGGGGAGACACAATACAGACATCTATTCACCCCAAATAGTGAGCTGATGAAAAAATCAAAGTTATGAAATTCCATCTTGTAGAACCAGTGCGTTCTTGTTAGGCTACAGCTGCACCACTGTAAAGCCCATTAGAACATGAGGAAAATTTTACAGAAACTCCAACATGAAGTTCTGTACATGACTTGCATGCAGCTAGATGGGTCCAGTTGCTTCTCAGCTACTGATTGATTAGAGCCCCCTTCCCTGGCTGTTCTTTGCTGCTTCTGTACGTCTGGGGAGGGACACTCCTATCTCTTGCAAATCTCAGCTTTCCTAGGCTTCTAAAATCATTTTACTTCCTGAGTCTACTCCCTTTCCACTGGAGGGGATGTTTCAGTTCAAACGAAATTGCTGTACAATGATTGATACTACCTTAAAGTAAAATAAATAAATAAATGATTGCTTATTTTCTTTTGGTATTAAATAACTTATTTCTGGTAGAACAAAGGCAGAGTGATTAGTTTAAGCACATAGTTTAAGCCTCACTCTCTCTCTGAAGCTTTAATTTCATTTGATTAATAAGAGGGCAACTTATGCAAAAAGCAGAGAAGATGAAAATTTAGAGACAGGAGAGCTAGAATGTAAATCTAGTGAGGTATGCTCTCCTACAATTTTCATAATTATTTTATTCTCTATGGAGAATTGAATGGGAAATGTTCTCCATAGGATCAGATATTTGAACCCTTGGTTCCAGTTGGTGGCACAGTTTGGGGGTAGGAGAATAATGGGACCTTTAGGAGGTGAAGCCTTGACGGAGGAAATATTTCTGAGGACAATTTCACTTGCTGGATATTTGATTACCAAATTGCTATTGATCTGTCCTAATTCATCGAAGTCCAGCAGGTTATAGAAGACGCAATTCCAGCAGAAATGTTGATGATGGGAGTATCCCTCATGCAGGATGGAGAACACCAGTGGCTGGGGAGAAAGCTCACACTGTGTACTGATTGCCTGACAAACACGAAGACCTACCTGAGCTCACCTCCTAGAACCATGTGAAAGAACTGAGCACCACAATGAATACTTGTAATCCCAGGGATGGGGAGATAGAGACAAAGGTGCCCCTGGCTGCTGGCCAGCCTGTCTAACCTAAGCAGCAAGCTCCAGGCCAATGAAGAAATTTTATCTCAAAAACAAAGCAACCAAAACAAAACTCAAATGACAAAATTAAAAATAAAATAAAATAAACAAATGAAAAATGTGACTGGCGACCTAAGAGGAACAGCACCAGAGGTTGACCTCTGGCCTCCACACATGCATTTATACATGTGAATATGCAAGCATACACACATGCACTTACAAACAAGGAGAAGGGCAGGGGACATAGGCTTTAATTAGGAGGCAAGAGCTGAAGCCTGCTGTTGGGTTTGGAAGAGGAACAGCTTGCTTTGTAGGTATGAACATCTTCCCTGCTAAGTTTCTGTCCTCCATTCAGATTTCCTTAGAAAAGACATAATTCTACGTGTACTGTTGACATATTTTTTTTTGCACAATTCGCCACTCTGTGATAATGACACATTCTCAGTTGGCATAATCAGAATGTGTCCAAGATTAATGCCACATATGCTGCCTTTCACTATTAATAAGTAAAATCCTATTCACTCCTTTTTTCATGTCTGCAAATACAAATGAAGTCTCAGACCTGATTTTTTTTTTTCAGTGCTTCATGCTTAGTTACAGAATTTCCCGAGTCTGGGCTTAAAAAAATGGAAGTCTTCACAATTAGCCAAAGGAGTCTAAGAAGGCTGGAGCGATGTCCCCACTCTCCTTAACTTAGAAGATAAAGTTTTCTGCGTCATGAAACAAACTCAGATAGTCTGATTTGCTAAGGTTTTAAATTGAAAACGTTCACAAGAATATCAATCTTGTTTCCTGTGCCACAAGGAGACCCGTGTGAATATTCATAACCGCTGCCAGCTCCTTCCTGTCTCTCTGCTAATACAA